TGCTGGGGGGGATAGGTATAGTAAACCTATTTCTTTACTCTTCATGGCATAACTACTAACCTCAGAAGGAGAGGTCAGCAGTGGCTCCCAGCACAGATTTCATTAACATTTATTGTGTCTCTTTAAATTGCATGTTATTCATATGTAAATTTATTGACAGCACTAAACATAAATCCGGAAAGGCTCTAGGCATGACTAATCAATGACTTGTTTTCTGTGGGCGCCAAAATTAATTAGAGGCAAGTGAAACCGGTTTTTGTTTGTAGTCTACTTAATTAAATTTCCATGGATTTAGGTCATCTGTCAAGTCCTAATTGGAATAAATTGTAACATACTTTTTATATGGCTATCACAGTAATTGTGGACTTGTAGCACTGGGGTCCTGTGGTTAACACTGCTGATACCTAGCACTTGTTTGAAACTTTCCACAAACTATAAAACGTTTGCATGCTTTCCTATGGTTTATTACTGGTTATGCTGGGTATTCCTAATAACATTCTGAGATGGGGAAACAAATTAATTTGATCCTTCCTTCCCTTTTTTTTTTATTTCAAAAAGTCTCCGATTTAAATGCAGTTATAGGCAAGGGCAGACTGACAACTCATGGGGCGCCTGGGCAATAGGGGATCATGGGGCCCCTGTGTCCTTGCCCAAACTCAAAAAAGCCTATGAAAAAGGTAACAGGGACATCTCATGGGGCCCCCTACTGACCCCGGCCCTCGGGCAGTGCCCGAGTCTCCAAATGGTCAGTCCGCCCCTGGTTATAGGACATTTCTAAAGGCATATAAATGCATTTATTGATTCTTATTGGTAAAATTCACACGTTGCATTTAGATGGATTTTAAGTGCCTTCGGTTTATCTGTGTTTAGAAGATGAGAGAGAATTCTGTGCATTCAGGGACAGAATCTTTTTTTTTTTAAAAAAAAAGTTTTTTTATAAAATAAAGTATATATATATATATATATATATATATATATATATATATATATATATTTATTTACACACACGTACTTTAGACATTTTCACATGGGTGTAACGGTCAGATCCGCCTGTTTGGTTTTTTCAGGAAGATCTGTACTGAAGCTCCATTTACCCATCCATGGACCTCTTAGGTTCATCTGGATTAAAAAAAAAAAAAAAAATAGCTGCTTTTCCATTTTTTTTTTTTTTTTTTTTTTTTTTTTGACTTGATATGATTAATTGGAGTTAAAAGAATATAAACAGACGCATGTGTGTTTCCATCCACCTGCCCTTAGATCTAATATGGGTCAGTTGGGCTCCAGCAAAAAAATACTGGACAGACCTACAATGGCCCAAAAGTGTCATCCTTACCATTTGGCTCCGATTTAGCAGGAAAACTTCACATATCCGCTGTTGATCAGAATGGATGCTGCCCTTGTAAAAGGTTGACTCATCTGCTAGCTTTTTAGGGCTTATAAAATCCAGTGATGAGATTTAGCCACTGTACTTTGTCTTTGCTCGTGTTGCTGATGCCCCCTTGAGCCTTGCTGCCCAAAGCATTGACCCAAGAGTGTCATTAAGGTAAATACAAGCCTGTTGAGCATCTATCTGACTAAAATTGCATAAGCAAAACTAGTGTAGTACCCTCCTGGTTAGGTGCTAGGATGTTAGAGAAATTTTAGTTTTTGGCTCTCCTGTAGTTACAGGAGCAGTGGGTGATTTATTTATTTTCCCTTTAGCTGTTCTGGATTTCACAGGCTGCAGGTTTGATTGCTCTCCCCTGCCTTCTAGAAAGTGTTAGAACATAGGAGAGAAGCAAGGCAAATGGGCAGCATGAATATTTATGGTGCTGCAGCCAATTCCTGGGGTGCCGTGCCCAGAAGGTAGCTGAGGAGTGCATAAATAGTTTGAACTGTAGAACAGCTGGGTCTGTCTGTTGAGGGGATTCCACATGTTCAGGTGGGGGGGTGGCTACCTCCTATCCCCAAGCTGTTCTACTCATCCAAATTACTAGTCTGACTGAAAAAATACAAAGGCCCATCCAGTTCAACCATAAAAAAAAAAAAAAGTTATAATCCTATACCCACAGTTGATCCAGAGGAAGGCAAAAAAACCCAGCAAAGCATGATCCAATTTGCTCCTGCAGGGGAAAAAATTCCTTCCTGATCCCCCAAGAGGCAATTGGATATTCCCCAGATCAATTTTACCTATAAATGTTAATAATCCGTTGTATTCTGTGTATCTAAGAAAGAATCAAGGCCTTTTTTAAAGCAATCCACTGAGCTGGCCAGAACCAACTCTTGAGGGAATCTATTCCACATTTTCACAGCTCTTACTGTGAAGAAACCTTTTCATATTTGGAGATTAAATCTCTTTTCCTCCAGACGTAAAGAGTGTCCCCTTGTCCTCTGTGATGACCTCAGGGTGAATAGCTCTACACAGAGTTCACTATATGAACCACTGATGTATTTTTATACATGTTGATCATATCCCCCCTTTTAATCTCCTCTTATCACGAGAGAATAAATTCAGTTCCTCTAATCTTTCCTCATAGCTGAGCTCCTCCATGCCTCGTATCAGTTTGGTTGTCTGTACTTTCTCCAGTTCCCCAATGTTCTTTTTGTGGAAGTTTGCCCTCCCATTTCTATTAGTGGTTCTGGAGTGTCCCATACTACCCTACAACCCATCCAATAAAACCACAAAAAAATCAACCTAGACTACGTTTTTGTATCAGTGTGCTTTGTGTGTGCTGGCAGCCTCTACACCTGGGAGGGAGAACCCTAGTCATCATTTATAATCTGTATGTTGACTTGCTTTGGAAATACATCAACCATCTGCTCTAGGGGATAGCACTACACTAACATGCACCATTCATTTGAAAGTAGTATTTATAAGTGTCAGTAAGCAAAACAAAAGGAGTAGATGGTCAGCTCTCATCTCCCTGTTCCTCGCTGTATATTTTTTGGTGTTGAGCATTATGCTAAAATGTCCTCCTCCTTCCTTCTTTTCTTCCTTTTTTTTTTTTTTTTTTTTTTTTTTTTTTTTTTTCTTTTACAAAACATTTTTTGTTTGCCCTGCTTTCTCTAATATGTGTTTTTGCTGTTTAACGCTGGTCTGAACATAGAATAGTACTCTTGCTAATCCTGCAAACCCCGAAGAACAATGCCTGCGTCAATTTTCACCTTTTGTGTGTGTTTTTTATAGAGATTTTTATATTCAAACTGGCAGATCCATCCACTCAACAGTTTCTTTGGATGTTTGTGCAATGTCCTGTTCTATATCCCGAGAAATGGGTACAAATCTGCAGAGGAGTTTGCTAAACTCCTTCCAGTATATATAAATTGGCCTAGAGCAGCCTTTTTCAACACAAAGGTGCCCTCAAAATAATTTTCCAGTCTCAGGGAACCCCTGATTTATAAAAAATACTATGGGTTGATTTACTAAAGGCAAACAGACTGAGCACTTTTTAAGTTGCCCCAGAGCTTAGAAAATGAGCAAAGCTGTGCTGCCCTCAAAAATAATGTTTCCATTCTTTCAGGGAAACCTCCCCTGCACTTTGAAAAAGTAAAAAAGCCCCTGTATCTAAAAATAAACTTATGGGTATAGATTTCAGTTGTCAGTGGGAACGTACTTGAAAGGCAGAAATTGCTCAAGGAACTCTAGCACCTCTAGAGCAAACCGTTTTTCAACCACTGTGCCGCGGCAACACTAGTGTGCCAGAGATATTGTCTGGTGTGCCGTAAAAAAAAATTGCCTCGGCTCACAAATATAGACGGGCAAACTAACGGCCCGCGGGCCGTATACGGCCCGGCGGACCTTTTAATCCGGCCCACGGAGCGTGATACTGTCAGGATGATCTGTCCCCCTCACGTATCTGCGCATGTGCCGGAGATTGCCGATCGGCTGCTAATGCCACTGGCAATGCTGTGAGGGGGACTTCTGTCATCCAATCATATGCAAGCAAAAATGCTGTGGGGAATGAATTACTTTTTTTTTTTTTTTTTTAATGTGATTGATATTCTATATGCAGGGGTGAAGCTTTACTATTTGGGGGGGTGAATTACTATATGCTGAATTACTATAACTGAATTACTATATGGGGGGATGAATTTACTATGGGGAGTGCACAGTCTATTTGGCTTTAGTAAATCAGAATTACCCTGTAATACTATGGGGGATGAATTACTCCTTAAACTTGTGGGATGAAATATGGGGGAAGAATTACCCCTTGAATTTATAGATGGGGGGCTAAGAAGATCAGTTGTCAGTGGGAACGTACTATTGAATTAAAGGCAGATGAAATATGTCAAGGAACCTCTAGCAAGGATTACTATACTTACTATGGAGGACACATACACATCATTCATCTACTCTTGGTTGCCCCGGGTCCAATTATAAAACCCTTGCCTAGAGAATTATTAATTTCTTTTTTTGATTCCTGTGTGTGTGTGAGGTGTGTGTGTGTGTGTGTGTGTGTGTCTAGAGGAACCCTGGGTTTTTTGGGTTTTTTTCCTTCCCATTTTGGTGGATATTACATTTTTTTTGTGTTTTTTTTTTTTTTGTTTGTTTTTTTTTTTTTGTGCTGTCACCATACGTGGACCTGCCACTCCTGGTAGTAAACTGGTGGATATTGACGTTTCATTGGTTTGTTTGGTTTCCATCAATTTTTTCCACTGCTCTTTGCCATAAATACCCAGATATGTTTACCTGTTAAATCTTCTAGGTATATAACCGTAATGCTTTTTTAACTAATCGTTGCAATTACTAAGCTGATGAACTAAGCCTTTGTGCGAACGACGCCTATCTTCATGTTACTGGAACCCTACTACAGCCTCATGTTGTCATAGTCTATAAATGTGCTTCCATACCTCAGTGTCACATTGCCATAGAAACAAGCACAGAACGTAGACACAAGCAGAGAATATGAAAATGTCCTCCATTATTCAGTTTTCTCTACGGTTCTATTCTGCCTGACTTCCTGCAACATGCGGCTCTAACCTGTTGTTTTTTTTTTTTTTTTATTCTTTTATCTGTAAACAGAAAATGCAAGAAAAGGAGATTGCCCGGAGTCGTATCCCACGCCTGGTTCTGCGTCCATACTTGCCAAAGCAGAAAGTGTCTCCATCTTCTGAATCCCCATTTTCAGAGGAGGACAGCAAAGACTTTAACCTTACCTCCAGTCGCTCTGCCAGGACTATAAGTAGTAACAGCTTCTGCTCAGGTATGTCTTTTGTGCTCTTCATTTTTTCCTTTTTTATAGGTTTGGATCCATGGACTGTGAATTGTTAATACTAACCAGGTAACTTTGAGCTAAAGCTAGTATACTTTAGTTATATATAAACTATTGCAGCCAGATTTTTCGTTCTTTTCATGAATCTGGTGGGTACTTCAGCCTCTTGGCCTATGATTCCATACTATGCTACATCTCTCTTGGTTTGGATGAGAATACATAAGTTTGTGGACAAAGAGGCTACTAGGGTTAATGGAAAGGATGAAGATCTCGCTTAGCTGAGCATCTAGTTACTGAAGCTTACCAGCATGTCAAGGGAGTTGTCCTATCCCTCATAAATGTAAGGTGATCCCGTCATGTTCAAAATGTATTTGTTGACATGCTCATCCTCTTGCAATCTTCTCACAAAACACTCAACTTTAGTAGGATGCTGTAATCAGGATTGTGAGAGCTGGCAGTGACCTCTTCGGGAACTGACAGCAGACGAATTACTCAACTTTCCTAGCTAAGTGATGGCTTAATGAACATATTTTGGCATGTGCCAGCAGTAGCTAAATAGGAGTCGGCACAGTAAGGAACCCTATATTACGGCTCTGTATGGTTAGGCATGCTCTCCATAAACTGAAAATGTAAACACAGAATTGACAGTTCTCTTTAAGGCCCTTTTTATTGTACATGATACTATGGCATCCCTAGAATGTCAGGATGAGGGAGACTTGGGGTCAGAGCTGTAACTGTGAACTGCTGTACCATGGGCTGAGCCAGTACATAGGTTCTTTGATAATACTGTACATCTCTATTCATTTTGACGTCATTGAGTTTTTTTTGTGGATACAGTATATTTTTCTTAATTTTTTAATAAGATTGTAATAAACCATAAACTACTACTAAAGTTCTTTCCAGCTATAGCTCTGAGAAATATGGAAGAAAATTATAATTGTTATATCTTCAGGATATAAAGTGCAGTATTTGACAAAATAGATGAGAAAATAAAATCTTATTTTATTCTCTATAGAATGTGTACCTTGGCTGCCTAGCTGGTAGTGTAAGGGTAAGAGCAGTTTTCTGGGAACACCACAGCCTCCTGTATGGCCCCAGAGGAGTTGTATCCTGTGCAAGCCCGCTCTCAAGTCCAAGGTTAATGGCACTTTGCCATAAAAGAAAAACAAAAGCTGCGGGTGCTTACTTTTGTGTTTTTTGAAAGCCCTTGGGAGTCCATCAGTTTTTCATTGACCCAGAGGGGGTATGGATACAGGAAATACCCCAATTTTTCTCTGGCAACATTCTTGGTTTAATCAAAGACTTGACCAGTAGTGACGTAAAAAATGGGAATAGGAGTCTGAGAACCTATACATTCTAAAATGGCAACCCCTGTATTTTTGTTCTGTTGGGATCCCTTTAGGACCTGTAGTGTACCCCTAAAAGAGCCACTGGTTAATTTGGTCTTATTTCCTCCCTTACAGCACACACAGCCAGGCACACAGCATTTTCAGCACTCTTCCTCTGGCTCAAAGATCAGTCTAGGGATTTCTTTTTTTATTGGGGAACCATGAACTTGGATAGGAAAAGGAAGCATGGCATACTCTGGAACTGCAAAACTGAATAACTTGAGGACTTAACTTCTGGTTGCAATGCACAAACTCCTGGCTGTACTTGTAATATAAATGTCCCACTGGATTTCCAGGCTGACTGTGACCTGTACTCCTTTCAGAGTTTAAAAGAACCACACTGTCACACTCTGCAGCACTGGGGTCTTGTATTCACTTAGCCACTAGATCATTGGTTGCCTCCTGCTGATATCCACCAGGCTCTTCCTAGTGAGGAAGAATTAGACTTTCACCCCCTCTGGACAACTTGAGCCCTCTCCCAGTTTCCTCCCAGCTCTTTCCCATGAGCTTTCTCCTGACCCAGGACTTGTAAATAGGCCTGCCAGCTAAACCTATCTGGGACCTCGGTGTCTTCAGGCTGGATTTCTCACTGACCTCTGCTCCAAGGGGCAGAACCCCTGTACGACTGAACCAAGGAACTCTGCACCTGCTACTCAGGCCTCAGACTACTTATAAGCTCTCCCTCCACCTTCTGGGTACACCTTGCCATTGACTGGAGTTCCATAAATTAATCAGAAGTAGTGTATGAAACACTGAGCAGCCCTAAGCAATCAACCCCTGCTCCTAAGTTTACAGAGGCGCTAAACTACATTTACCTAGCAGCCTACTCTAAATTAAGAGGGTGCTATAGTCCCAGTCACACCTGCCTTGAGTTAAAATAGAACTGTGGCCTCTTTGGACTCCATCGTTCCTGGGATGCCCTGGTGTCAGTGGTTCCTGGGAAGGAAAAAATGTCCAGCATCTATGGCCAATGGATGGGGGAAAAAACTACTTGGAGCTGGGAGTCAGTGGAAACAAGAAAATGCCTAGTATTGGGGTCAGCGAGGGGAAAAAAATGCAAATGTGTGCACTTATCGCATTGTAGTAAGAGACATTGGTGCTCAGTGGGGGTCAAGGGTGCAACATGTAATGCCTAGGGGGTAGGGGGACATCTGTGCTTAGCAATAGGTAAGTGGGAATCATTTGTGCTAAGCAGGTAATGGGGTGGGGGGAGTCATTCCCAGTGGGAGGTAGGGTAGAGGGACAGTAGTGGCCAGCAGGAGGGGGGGAGGGAAGGAGCAAGGAAAAAGTGCTTGGGGAGTGTAAGGCTTACTCTACTTTTGGAATAGTGCAGCATTGTTGCTGCACCATTAGGCCTCATTCACATGGATCTTTTGTTTAGGTTGCTGGCGCTACATGTGGGTAGCCTGTGTTACTCTATGGAGACCCAGTAGGTGTATGGACAGAGCTGCTCTCTAATTTGACAGGCATGCAGGAGCAGGTGCTTGTCCTCAAACGCAGACCGCATGAGTTCAGGGCTGTGTACTCATCCCTGCTTGCCTTTTCAAAGCCTTCAGATTTGTCCTGGCTAACTGCCTACGTTTTTTCACTATCAGAATGGTGATGCCAGAAGAAGAGCGAGGCAAATGGACATTTATGCTTCTTTGAAACCAATGTACCCTCATGCATATTGTACAGCTTGTGGCTTCACAGCCGGGTGCCCACTGCACTGTGCTTTCTGAATGGCCCCGTCTTCTGGGACCTGTCACGTGTCCCTCAAGACTACGGGGAAGGAGGGTAGGAGGACAGCTTCCGATCGCCTAGGCGATAGCAGTGGAAGTGGGAGCGAGTACCTGTCAATTTCTGGTACCCGCTTCCCAAAGGTACCAATCCTTAAAGCGGAACTTCCCCTTTTGGGTGGAACTCCGCTTTAACATACGCATCCGCAGTGGTTCGCATGAACGGGGTGCTATTCTGATGCGGTGCTGAATTTTGCACAGAAAACACTGCAAATTCCACACCACATCAGTGTGAACCCAAGTTAAGAGTCCATTCCAATATGCATTATTTTAGAGTGGAACTTTAGTCAGAAAATGAAGTCTTGTAGGATCACTTTCAGCTGGTCCCTTTTGCAGGTATAGCTATATAAAACATAAATTTGAGCCTATACTATTTAAAATCCAATTTTATCCTGTTTTGCACATATTCAGTTGCTCTCCATTTTTCGGCACTGTGCCAAAAATGTAGAGGCCGGTCTGCTGATGGTCTAAAGATTTACTGCTGCTCAGGGGCTCTGGACTTAAGCAAAATGGCAACTTCTGGCAAGAATAAACAGGAACAATCCAGGAGGCACTTTACAGCACAGGTGCCATTCAGCGCCCAGTAAAATGGACTTTTTTTTTTTTTTTTTTTTTTCATGCGTTGCTGTAACACATGTGAATTGGGCCTACAAGTTATGGCTTGGGTGTGGCCTGTACTGGTGCTTAGGTAAGCATTAAAAAAAAAAAACGTTGTAGGGGTGAAATAAGACCTTGTACAGCGGAGGTCAGCAACCTGTAGATTGCAGCCAGATGACTGTTCGATGCTCCAGGATGGCATGTCTCCAAGCCCAGACCACGATCTACCAGAGTGCAATGCAGAGGGACTACTTGTAAAGTTGGAGCTGTAGTAGAGAGCAAGAGCCGCATAAGCCGATGCCTCCTCTGTAGTGCTGGCTCCTGTCCCATGCAGAATGGTACAAACTGCGCTCCACCTCTTATCCTGGTTAGCGGTCTAAAGAGTGGTGACAGGAAAGGAAAGATCTTCAGGTCAGTGTGACGCAATACACTGGGCATAATGGCATAGGGCTGCTTTCACACTAATGTGCTGAGGTTTACCCACACATGGGTGCAGTGCAGTACACCTGCAGCTCACCCCCTGATTTAAACCCATGATTTCCATGCAGTGCACATGATTGTGACACGGTAGTGCAGCAATGAAAGGTTTAAATCAGTTGTGAGGAGGCAACACTGTGCCCGGTGATCTTTGGCTTCTCCCATGTTCATGTAGATCTCCACCTCTTTAAGGTTGCCTACCCTTTGTTGTACAGTGTAAACCGGGAACTGTCTTAATCGGAAACTGGCTCCAAACTGTGATGCAAGGACCGGATACTGCCCTTTTTCCTCCAACTGATACAAAACCACATTCCTCTTCCAACAATGGGGTATAGTTCCTGCCACTGATATCGATGATGGAGCACTATTTCTCCCACTGACACCATGCACTGTTTACTCCCACTGAAGCCAGGACAATTTGTACTCCTACTGGCCATAGTTCGGCCTATATAAAGTAAACTGGCCCTTTGTTTAGAAAGTTTGAAGAACCCTGATCTAGACCATGGTATTTCACAGTAGCCCTGCCAAAAGATCAAATCCTAGTTCTGACTTTCTGAAAAGTCAGTATTCACATATGGCCAGATATGTCCTTTGCCTCGTGTGACAGTAAAAGCCTTGTGACTGAAGTAATACAGTCTCATAAGTGCAAGACTTTGCACTTTTTTTTTTTTTTTTTTTTTTTTTTTTTTTAAATCACCATTGTACCATTGTTTGAATAATACAACATCTCGGGAGGTCTCATGAACATAAGTTATGTATGCTTGTCACTGTTGAGATGTTTTTTTTCTTTTCTATGTGTTTTTTGTTTTTATACAAATGACTACTCTTTTTGTTTATATATTGAAATGTACACCATTCTTCATAAAACTCAAAATCAGATTAAATGTAAGTACGAGTCTATTCAAGTATTCAACCCTAATGTTGTCCTTGGCTCTTAGTTACACAGGCCCTAAGTTCTGCATCGTGGGTTTGGGGAAGACATGATGCGCATTTAGCCCTATACTGAAAAGTTAGAGCTATAAATGGGTAGTGGTGGATTTGGCTGGTGGGCTTCAATGTTCAGTATGACGCCCTGAGGTGACTGGTCTGAATCTTCACTGTCTTTGCTTTTAAGGACCACCACAAGTCTTTAAAAAAAAAAAGTATGATTCATGCTAACGCTTGGAACTAATCAGCACAAACCGACAGGGCGAACTAGTCAAATGAATAAATTACATTGGAATAGCTGATTCTTCATCTCCTTTTCTGTGCCAAGGGAAATGTTATGCAAGCTTGAAATGAGTCAACCCTTTTACCAGCTTCTTGGAACAAGACAAATATTAGGACAGTGCTAAAACCCACTTCTAATGTAAATAATTACTCTTTGTAGCATTTCAACAAACTCCAGTCTGTAAGCACTGTCAGCATGTATCTTGTACAGCCACCTCCTGCTAGTAGCCGGGGAGGGAGTGCGTGTTTACCCTCTGACACTGGATCCTCCTCTTTGCCTTCATCCATGTGTCTGGAGAGCGGCCACCAGGCTCAGATGTCAGCGGTGGAAACATTTCTGCCAACGCATCTGGCTGTACACTCAGCAGCTACAGGGACTGGATCACAGGAAACTCCCAAGATACATTATGTTCAAAACTATTAGTCTGGGCGGAAAAAAAAGGAAATGGGCTGAAGTTTGCTACATTCCTTTAAACGTGTTTTCTGCATTTTTAGCGTATTTTTATTTGAACAGAACTGTATAGGAACAAATAACCCAGGCTGAAGGAAATCTCTACTACAGTTTACAATAATAGAATTGGCTAGTCACACAAAAAATATAATCTGTTAAATTCTGACTAATGTGCAGTTTATCTGATCTAACCAAACACTCAATAATATGTTCAGTCCAAATTTGATTTTATTTATTTTATAAATACAAGAGTTGGGGCCATTAGGTGTGTTTAATAGCATCCAGCTGTCCCTGAATTGGAGGGACTGTTCCTCTTTTGAAAATGAACCCCAGCTGTTCCCCTTTTACTCCCTTTTTTTTTTTTTTTTTTTTATTTGTCCCTCCTTTTTGGTCCAGTGTATGGACCCCTATAATATTTAGTTTCTAGAAGCATTTTACTGCATTAGACCATATATCATTTAGAATTAATGGGTGCACTTGAACTTCTGATGATTTTGAGTGATTTGACCTTCTTCAAGTGGTTTTTGCATTTAGTTTGAGAAGCCAGTATAAAGGAAACTTAGTTTGGGTTGTGGGTTTTTTTTTTTTTGTTTGCATACTTAATTTTTATTCTCCCAATAAACTAACAGCTAATAGATGCGTAAACCTCCATTCAAACCTTGTATAATACATAGGATCAGATTAAAAACATGCTTTCCATTTTTGCCATCACCTTGTGTTCTAAGTCTTAGAGAGGTCTTCACCATTCTTTTTTTTTTTTTTTCTTTTTTTTCCCTCTATGCTGGTGATGGATGGGCGTATCCAAATACCAATCCCAATTGTGTTTTTGCATAAAATTCTTCATGGCTTTTGTTCCTGGGGGGGTGTAGCATTTGCATACACACTGTACTAAAAAGCTCTCATCTCAGAGAGCTATGGCATATTGAAACATTCTCCTCTTATGCCATATTTATACCAACAATATATGAGGCAGTGAGAGCAAAGTTTGGGTGTGTGTGTGTGTTTTTTTTTTTTTTTTTTTTTTTTTTTTTTTTTTTTTATATGCATCTCGTATTTTCTTCTTTCAGATGACACAGGTTGCCCCAGCAGTCAGTCGGTGTCCCCAGTGAAGACTCCATCCGATGCTGGTATGAGCCCCATGGGATTCTGTACAGGAAGTGAAGATGACTACAGTCACAAGCGAGTCAGCACTGGCATGTATACTGATGGCAGCATTCAGCCTACGAGGTACAAGAAGGAGTCAAAGAGCAGCCTAATGAAGACTGGTAAGATTTTGTATTTGTACTCCATCTGTCACCTCCATTAGTTTGTCAATACGCCATCAGTGGTTCATATTTCTTCATAGTATTATGTTCATTGCTACAGTGTAGGTTAATTTTACATTTTATTTGCCTTTTTACAAAGTGGACCTGAACCCAAAAAGTAAAGGTCTATGTTATTGAGAACATTCTGTTCTCCTTGCTGGAGTTTCCGACACGAGAAAGAAAAGCCTGCCTCTACAAAGATGGCTGCCTCCACACATATGCATAGTGCAGAACAAGGCATGGTTGGTCAGTAACTGTGGGAAAAAAATCAGCTGCAGGGAGACCACAGTCAATAATGGTGACTAGTTCTTTGTCCTCTGCTTGCCATTTTTTTTTTTTTTTTTTTTTTTTTTTTTTTTTTCGAGGTATGGCTTCCAGCGTTCAGTTTCTCTTTAGGCTCTCTAGCCTTTGACCATGACCTTTTAGGCAGATGCTGTAGACTGGTAAATGGAAAGAAATGCATTTCTCTTACTACTGTACTGCAATGCTCTAAAGGTACTGGGTGCGTGTGTTGGCATCCTCCGATGTGGCCCTGATTTGTATCATAAACACTTCAGAGTGCTCTGTCATAGTGTTAACTGTTCAGCCTGTATACTATTTTTTTTTTTGTTTAAAGCTTTCAAACGTTCATTCCATGTGCATATTCTTCCTTTTTTTTTTTGGTCCTCCTGTGTCTCTGACCTTCCTGATTCTACTTTGAACAGGTCATTAGTGGTTTAAATTGGACATCATATAGATCCACCCATAGATTAGTGTGGGTAGTCAAAAACCACAGCTAGCTTGTGCTCCTCTGAACCCGACTGCTTCCAGCCGCTGGAAAATCCTCTGGACAGCCAAGCCTGGAAAATTCAAATCCGGCGCCTTCAAGAAACGTTGGAAACATCTGATGTAATCATTATGCTTAACTGAGAGAGGGGATAAGATGGCCAATGATCAAATTTTTAATTCAGTTTAAAACCGTCATTCATCTAACCACAAAAATAATTTAAAAGGCTTTGAAAAGTGCCTGCAAAACCCCTACCATTTTTTTTTTTTTTTTTTTTTTTAATAATTCAATACAATGTTAATTATTAAATTATGTGGACCCCTAACTAGTAATAAGAGCTAATCCTTTCCAGGGAATATCCTGTGCTAAATTAGAAAATCCAATCATTTTAAAAAAATGTTTTTCATTTATGAAGTCATATTTAGCAGGATTAGTTTTCAGCAGCAAATTCAGCCTCTCTTCACATAATTGTGCATCATGCAACTTCCCTCTCATGCTCTTTGTATTTTAAAGTAATGTTTCAGAGGAACTTGATAAGAGAACCCCCCCGGCATAAATATTCTGGGTTATTCAGAAGTGGATAATGGCAACTATAGGGATGATTTTAAAGTAAAGTAGGTCAATTCAAGCTGAGCATGGTGAAAAAAACACGTTAAAATAGGTTATATTCAGTGAAAGAAACATTTCAAAATACGGTAATCAGTAGCCCCACACATTTAGACAGCTGTATGCAACTCTCAACGTTTCCTGTAAGTCAGGCTTCGTCATGCTCCTCTTACCTCCCCGTGAACAGACCAAAATACAGGCTTTGAGGACTAGGGAGCATGATCAAGACCTGCCGTGAATTTCAGTTATCTTTGCCTCGATTTATTTTGAAAGTGAGATTTTTCACAAAGGTCACCTCCACTTATGTTTTTATTTTTACTATTTGATTAATTTAAATTGCCCAAGTTTATGGCAGATTAGCTTCTAACTCCAGAGTAATGTACTTCAAGATGAGTGAACCATTTTGTAGACTGCAGTGGTAAAAATTTTGTTTTGTGATGACAACAGGTCTGCTTTATGGAATATTTTTAATCTAAGGCTTGTGACAAACATGATGCCCGTCCCCTGCCCTTCTCATCAACACGTGACAAAGGACCAACCAATCTCACACCGTGCTGTCACTTGCATAACAATGCTACCCTCAACTGCACCCTTGACTGAGATTTTCCAGCTTGTGGGACCACAATCTAGGCGCTAGCAGCCTGAGAGCGATTGTCACTAGGTTAGGTTATTTATGCAATTAACGTTTTAGACTGCCAAGACCGCCTTGTTACCGAGAAGGCGGAAACTCACAATCTTAACAATAACTCTGACTTTAGCATAAACGTCTGCAACACACACTGTCACCACAGACAGGGATATTCAGAGGATTATTATCCGTAGCACTCTTCAAGAGACAGGTATTCTTTAGTTTGCTTTAAAAGCCTTAGAGATAATTTTAACACTTTTTTTCAAAATAGGATTTATTAATGAAAAGGTCAAATGGTGCAATTAAAATATTTACAGAAAGGATGTTACAAGGACCTCTAAAGAGAACAATAACGCAACAGAAAAATAAGAGGTGAAAATGGAGAATACTTGCAAAAGTCCTGGTTTTAGCAGAGTCCAGGTGTCCAAGCAAAAACATAGCTGTGGCTCTCTTGGGTGTTCCTTGGTTGATGTTAAAATGAGAGCTTTCTTACCAGGTCCTGACATCCCCTTTTCTGTGATATCAAAGGGGTGTCACCAGAGACCATCTGACCAATAATCCGGTTTAAGGGATGGGTGCTGGGAGGCCACCATGTTTACGACCAATTCCTAAATACAGTTTTACACTAAACTTCCAATACCTGCCGATGGTATTCTAGAAATTGGCAGAACATTATTCAGAATTATATTTTGTATCCAAGGATACCAAGCACAGCGTACGTTTGTCACCCAAGAGGGAGGAGACCGCTTTCTCCCCTTTTTGTATGTGCTAGGGTTGTCATGTATGACCTTGAATTATTCCACATGATACTCCCCATTCAAATATATACCTGATATTAATGTGTCCTGTTCCTGTTGGATTATAAGAATTGTGTGTGGAATTGTTAAATTGTGAAATAGACGTTTTCTAATTTTGCATTCCTAGTGCTTTAATGGCCTTGCAGGCTATGTGTGACAGGCTTGACTGAGTTATTCTGGTTTTATGATAGGGCAGAGGGAAGAGTGTTTGGTTTTTTTGGTTTTTGTTTTTTTTGGTTTTTGTCATGGTTGTGGGAACACACATCCTGCCAAGACTAATTAGCTGTTTACAGCTGGCATCCAGGCATGGACTCTGGTGTTTTTTGTTTTAGTTAAGATAAAGATGAGGGGCTCTTTTTGAAGTTCATTAAAACTTATACTTACAAATTCCATAGTTTTCAGGAGGAGGGAGGGAGATCACTGCTCGTGAAAAACAAGATGGCTGTTGCCTACAGCTTTCATGTCCCCATTGCGCACAATCATTACAAGCTCACATATGAGATAGACTTTTACATGAGGACTAATCCTCCCTGCAAGTTGGTAGTACTTGCTTGTCGCCTCTTTGCTCTGTGTCCACAGGCTCCGAGTTCTGTCTCCAAGCTGGTTGGAAACTCATGCCACCATTTAAAAAAAAAATAAATAATCAGCAGCTGCATATGTGCCATCACACATTTCTTTTGCCCAATAAATGCCCCCCACACTTCCCAAGCTCTTGTGTAATGTCATATGGCACATACACATGATGAGGCACAAATATAATGTGCCTGATCTTGGACCTTCACCATACAATATTACACTTATCTGTTTGGGTGGGGGAACCATTTTTCCCCTGAGATCTTGTAAGTTGTAAGGTCTCACAGTTTAGAAATTATATTCAATGCAAGTATGTAAACAATTTTTTTTCTTTTCTATGACTTATAAATGGTTTATAGATTGGCATGCATTTGGGGAAGGGAGGGGAAGGGATCCACTTTAAGTAATGTGCAGTGGTTGGATGTAGTTTGGGTTCTCCTGCAAAAGAAGAAGCTGGTTTGGGTGTGCCCACCACTATGACAGTATTGTATCTGTATTTCTTTTTAGCTTTTGTAAGAATTTTAAAATGTATGCCAATGTTCCATACTGGAAATGTTGAATCTAATGAGTCAAGCCTTCATGACCAGTCCAGCATTAATCCACCACATAAATGGTTATTTGATTCTATGTGCAGATTTGCTGTAATAACCATTTTGTATGTACAAATAATGCTGTTCTTTTCAGCTGAGTTCCTGTCAGTTTCTATAGCAACTGCAGCTCTGCTTTGCTCAACAGAATGGTAAGCGGATTGAATTTGAATAAGGAACGTTGTTACACCTGTGCAAATTCCAACACTTCAGTCGGCAATGATAAGCCAGCATGTCATGTCTGAGATAAATCGTTTCATTTCTTAAAACGATCGGGTCAGAAAAATAAGATTGCGTATTGGTAACTGCGATTTAGTTACTTCACAGTTAAACTGCTTTTTCACGTGAAACATGGTGGTGGACAAAATTTCAAATAAATATCACTTCAAGTGCACCTGTCATGGAAGAAATATGGGGTATGCTAATACTTGCCTCCTGAAAATAGTGGATGTCTGGTTGGGTCCCCCTTTAATATTTCAGTGTCACAAACACAAAACAAGAATGTGTACATAGTTGGTAAGGTTGAATAGATACACCAGTCATGCCACTACCATTTTCAATATCTCTGCATGTGTACAACATGAATGTCAGTATTCTTGTTCCTCATGAATGACTGACTCAAGTTATCAAAGCCAAAATGCCAACCTCATAGCCAAACAATTAACCGTTTTCAGAAAGAGGTCCATAAATGATGACCTACATACTTCTCTCATAACAGATTTTCTTTAAAGCCAAGTTCCAAGTGGGGATAAAAAGTGGGTAGTTGTTGCATAAGATTAGTATAAATACCCATATCTATCTTGATGTTGACCTCCTGTGATGAATGAGAGGAGGCTGGGATGCCATCAGGTGAAGGGTCACTCCCAATATATACACTAGTGCCATGTCCTAATTTTTATTGGTCAAAAGAAACAAGGATAATACAAATGGATTTTATAGGCACAAAGACTAAATGCACGTATTAATAAAATCTGTATTGCTTTATTTGATATTACGTCACATAT